AAAGGTATGCATAGGAAATCAAGATTTTAGCATAGCTGTCGAAGCCATTCACAGGTCCAGCATGTGTGCTTGAATGGCTACCCTGGAGCTATCCAGTGGAGATGATTATCTTCAATACTGTGATATTATTACTTGAGACAGTTAAATGGAAGTTCTCAAGCTCAAATCATCCCTTGTGAATACCATGTGGAGAAGCCCTGCAGTACTGCAAGTCCATGGATTGAGAGAAGTAACAGGGTAAGATGAAATAGAGGGACGAAGTGAGGACTAGAGAAAAGGGTATGCCTGGGAACTGAGAGTCAACTCTTAAACCATAGTATCAAGGGGAATATCAAGCCATTTTGAACAGAAGAATTTCAAAGCTTTCTCCTAAATGGGACAAAAGCATTGTAATCTTCAATATTCAGGGCTGACGTAACCAAGCATGGTGGTTTGTGTTGTTACGTTTCAGCTATTGACCAGACTCTACAGATGTTGATCAATTGGCTGAGAGATGGGGAACAGAGATACTTGGCAATGCTAGAGGAAGGGGAAGTATCCTTGGAGATGGCTGCTGTCTTGTCCTAGATCCATACCTTTGTGTAAGCACCTCTCCCACCTGGGATGGCACATGAAATGAGGGGGGTTGAACTGGCCTGGTATGAGTTCTTGTGTGTAGACAGGTGACTGAATGTTTTGCCAACTCTTTCATACTGTGTATGCTTATAGGAATGGAGACTTCATAACATGCCCTCACTGGGGAAATGCAGTAACTGACTGTTTTTAGATGTGGTCTGAGCTCTTTGCAGTTAACGTACTTTTTATGCTTGTGCAGGCTCTTGCAACTTGGCATAAGGCTAGAGTTAAAGCTGAGGAAGCAACAATGATCAGCATCTGCTGATAAAAATGGTCCTTTTCTAATAATGTTCAAGGTACCATTGTGACCTAGCAGATTTTAGAAAAACAGTTTTTACTGAATGGTAGGTTAATGAGTAAGAAAGAGATGCTGAATTGTAACACATCGCAGAGGGGTTATTTTGACCAGATTTTGGAGGAGAAATCATTTCTTTTGCTAGAAGTAAATGCTGTCTGAACTAATCAAACTTCTGTCTAGCCAGTTCATCTGGATTTCGTTAATTGTTGTGTTTTTTTTTTTTTTAATTTATGAATTACTTGTATTATTATCGCATCACACAATATGACAACTTTGCAGTAAAAGAACAGAGTTGATCTGTATAGGTACTGAGTGTAAAAATGGCTTCTGGGGACAGGCAGTCTCTTTTTTTTCTTAAATTTAAGTTAGGGGGAAAAAAAAAAGGTCCAATGGAAGCTTCAGATGAGTTGAAGTCCTCTGTCTGATCCCATATAATGAAGGCAGTAGGAGCAAAAAATTAGGTAAGTGCATTGACTAATGCCCTGAGGGGGACTGAGGGGTGGTTGGGAAGTGATTGTTTAGAAGTGCATAGGAACTCTATTCATGAATCAGGACTCTACTTTGGTAGATGCCAACAGAGTAATGAAAATAAAGAATAAGCAAGAAATTTATATAGAAAATGCTAAGGGAATGTGGTAGTTCTAATAGTTTATTGTAATACATCCAAATATGTGCACCATATGCAAGTGTGCTTTAACTTTCCAACTAGAAACACTGGGCTTGGTAATTAAAAAAATATTGTTCACTGTGCTTTTATAAAATGCAAGGCATTAGCATAAGAGTACTGGTGACTGGGTACAGAATATTTTCCAAAATGCTGTAGAATAACACCACAGGGACAAATATTGATAAATGTTTAGAGAGTCTGGTGTGGGACTGGGTGCTTGGACAAAAAACATGCATGGGTTAGCAAACATTAGGCTCAGTCAAGAAGCAGTGCTGACCTCATGCAGCCTAAGTTAACTCTCCTTTGCTGCTGGCTCTGTGCATGATCTGATGTTTTCTTTACTGTCTGGCTATTGCTGGTATATTTAATCAGAAGTACAGAGCACTGGAGGAATGAGAAAGAATAGAAGGAATGATGACAGTAACACTGAAATGTAGAAGCAGACACAGGTAAAGCAGAGACAACAGGATGCAAAATCTTTCAGTTTGAGGTTGTAAGCTTAAATCCGGGGAAGAAGCTCCAGTGACTGGCTGTAAATTGTTTACATCTGGAAGCCAAGCTGAAACGCACTGTGCCCGGCCTTAATGTCACGTAGCAGCAACACCTACAGATGGGACATGAACACATGGATAGATGAGAGGAGTAAAGCCCTTTCACATCTCAAGTTAAGGTCTTACAGAATGATGTGGAAACAGTGCTGGGGGTCAACTGTGTAGACCTGCGGTGCAGATGCTGTGATTGTTCCCCACTGTGTATGTGGCTCCAGAAGCACTGTGGGCTACAGCCTTTCTACATTCTTTGAGTTCAGTACTATGCAGATCATAGACTCCTCTAGCCCAGCCGTGAGGGGTACCATCTCCATGGGAGTATTTGCAAACCTCCTTTACTACAAAACATTCATACTCCCCACTGTATAATAGCTCTTGGATACGGTGGATGGGATACTTCTCGAACGATTTCTTGTGACCCTTTGAACGCTAACAAAAATGATGGAAAGAATCTAGAAGAGCAAGGTAAATATTTATAAACTTGTGTTATAAATCAGTGGTCTTGTAATTTCCCTGACCCTCGAGACTGTACTTCCATGCATGTGATAAATGACTGCATTGCTCAGCCCAGATTTCGGTGCAGTTGTCTAAGCAAGCTGTCTAAACAGAGGCAAGGAACCAGAGACTTTAGGAGCTTTGAGCTTGTCTCATAAGTTAGTGAAAGAAAATTGCTTAGCTTTCCTCCTGTGTACATGCTACCACAAAGAAATTGTTCCTTGCTTTTTTCTCACTTGCAGTATAGTTTCCAGTCACAGTTTTGTCAGGAAAATTACTGCACTTTGTAAAGGTGACCTCTTGTTTTTAGGTTTGAACTCAGAGTGGCATTAGCACAGAGACAGCAGAATGGATCACATCACTTGAACTGGCCAACAGAAACAATGATATTCACTGACTTGGCCATAAGTTCACTGTAAAATTTAAAAAAAAAAAAAAGTCCTATGCTATTAAAAAAAAGACAATGGTCGTATAGTGAAGTGTAAAGCAAGTCTTCTGCCAGACAAAGCAAGTCTTCTGCCAGACTTCAAAACTACCATTTATATTGCTTCAATGTACTAGCAATTATAAATCAATATTTTGGCTGTATATTGGAATGCGATGTTGCCATAGAAACGAGCCAAATTTTGCCTTTGGAGTTAGATGAGCATACACATGTGTATAAAAGGGAAGAAATATACTTCATTAGATACTCCTTGGTGGGATAATGCTTAATAAGCTTATTTCTATCTCTTTCCCTGCTTGTTGCAATGAATTTCAAGATTGCTTTTTTCATCATAATAAAGTAACAATATTCTTCAGGATGATTTTTTTTTCCTAACACCCTTCCTCCCCCCAGAATCACGTGAAATGGTATGAAGTGTTCCTTATGAGCCCATGGAAAGATTTTATAGGAATTTTACAAGCACTTAGGTAGTTAATGAGACACCTAAGGTTCCCAATGGAATTTCCTTTTCACCTATTGCAAGTACATCCAAATGATCCATCCATGGTTTGTGCACCCGCTGTGAGTGGGCAGCAGGTAACTTGACCCATGCAGTGCTCTATTTATTGCTGAGATTCAGCTAGGACGAATTGCACCTGAGGCAAATCACACCTCTCAAACTCTTAAAATTTCCACCTATTCCATCTCCAACAATTTGCTGTAATATTGCAAAATCACACTCTATTTCCATTATGTTTCTTGCATTTGCTCAGTATCAGCCATCTTGAAGGAAAATTCTGTGTGGCTTCAGACAGCTGTACTCCCAGATGTCTCCGGTCTGCCTGCACTGGAATTGACAGCATTAAATCCTAGGTGTTGCTCCAATATCAGCTGCAGTTCTTAAACTGTTCTCTAGAGGAGAGCCTGCCATGGTCTCTTTTTGGTTACGCAAAGCTCTATAGCGTATATTGGCCAAAAATATTGTTGTGGGGTTGTCAAAAGTGATCTTGTGCATGAAAAGCCAGCTTGGACAAACTCAGCCTGTAGCCTGCTTAGTCAGGGAAACAAGGGACACAAGCTCATGTGGTTGGTCTGTCCCACTAACCACTGTTGAACTGGCTGGCTGCTTGCAACTAGTTCTGAGAGGGTACAGGCAAGACGTGCAATTCAGTCTTCCCGTCATAATTTGGAAATCCAGGAGCAGGAAATGCAGGATGTTGCCTCAAGGGACGGATGATCTATGAGGGTCAGAAAGTAAGGTTCTGACTAGCAGCACAGCAGGTACAGATTGCCTACCAGAGCTGCTACTCAGGCTTGGCCCTTTCAGTTAAATAAAAGGCTTTCTCTTGAGTTTCTTATCTTGGAGATCACTTAGTATTATGGAAACCAAGAAACCTCTGTTTACCCAGGCTGTCTCTTCACTGTTGTTAACTAAGGTATTTTGTAGGCAGGTGTCATCTCTGTATTTTTGTTTTATCACTAATCTTTATGAACAGACAGCTTGTAGATCAAATCCATTCTTATTTCAACAGGTGCTATAAAGAAGTGTACATGGGAAATAAGTTCACTGACACCACTAGAATAAAATATTAAATTGGTGAAAATAAAAAGAGTCAGAAGCATCATGAGGCCCATTTCTACTGCTGAATTTGTTTTACTCTGTTGTCTAATGGCTCCATCTCAGATTATAAGGCCCCACAGTCCGTTTTCATGAGCAAGATAGCTAAAAATTTTGTTTCGGATGTATTTTTACTGAAAGGGTATTGAAATTTTGCAATTCTGGCAGTAGTTCATGTTTCCAGGATGCCCAAAACAGCAGCTCCTTTGGGAAACTTTTTTTTTGTGGCATGTGTAGTCCATGTCATGTCATGTTAAGATCATAGCCATGCTTTGCAAATTTAAGCATGTTCCAGGTCCCAAACCTGTATGCCATCAGGTAGGCATTTCTCCTACCTGTTTGTGAGGATAAACATTAATGTGGCACTTGATACATTCTTGTCCCATGTTAGCCCAGGAGTTTCCACTCATCCATTTTCTCTTGCATTTTGGGCACTTATATTCACCGAAGCAGCGTTTCTTGCCCTGGTATGGAGTCAAGCCTTCTCCTTTGGGGCGAGCCTGAAAAACAAGGAGGTAGCAATGAGTGACCAGAAAGTGTTGGAGGGGGAGTAGTAAAGCAATGTTTTTATTTAGGAAACTGGGCAAAAGATACTAGAGCCAAGCATGAAGTCTGTATCTTCATGAACAGTTCATACACTGAAGCTTGAATTTAAGTTCTGAGAGTTACTTCTGAGAAGCACTCACAAGTTCAAGAATGCTTGTGACATTTCTGGCACCAAGCTCAGTATTTAGAAATGTCTGTGCACTTCTTGCGATGAGTATTTGTTAATATCCATTTCAATACAACCAAATTGTGTCTATTGAATAAGTATTGCTATCACTGTATATAGCATCAGAAGTAGCTCACTAGCGAAAGATGCTCTTAAGTAGGTCGTTGTCTGTTCCCCAAGAGAATCTCACTAAGAAAATATTTCACAGTTCTGCATTGCACAGCTTCTAAATGACGAAATTCTGGCAATCCATTAGTATATGGATATGCATTGCTGTATGTGACAGCCATACTGGGGTTGAATATGAAGAGAAGGCATGATTTTCATTAGCAGAGATTACTAATTTCACAAACTTCATTAGGCTTCCTGTTCTCTGTAAATGATGTTTCACTAATTTTCATATTTTGAAGGAAACGGGAAAGGATATTCCCAAATAAAATGGACTGCTGTGATGTCTAAATATTAAACATTGCCTAAAGAAAGCCTGTTTGCCCAGACAAGATATTACAGTTGACAATGACCTTATGTAAATAGATGGCTTCTACATAATCACTCAAACTGCATTGTATTCAACAGAAGTGTAATGTACATAATATGCTAATATTTTAAGGTGAAGGCGAGTATTGCATACAGCTGTTCTGAAGAGAGCTGAGGATGAAGCTGTTTTCCTAGAGTCTCCAGCAGGTGTTGAAATACTGCCCATATATTCACTGTATTTTGTTTATTGTTGCCTAGAGGAAGAGACTTCCCCTGCATCATGGCCAAACAGTACAATCACCTATCACAGAATTTGTTTATATGTCAGGCCTGTGGGGCATTTTTTTAAGGTTCCCAGATTAAGATTATGAAAGCTAAATGACCCATCATGCTGGGAAAGAGTTTGTTTTGTTTTGGGAACTTGTATGATTTCTCAGTGTGTAGGTCCAAATAGCTTTCTATGTGAAAACACGGGTTGGGAAAGCAGGTGGTTGGCAGAAGACCTGAGCTTGGCAGGCGCGTTGGGACTCCAGCTCCTGTGCCTGATGGTGTTTGCCACAATACCTCTGGTGTCACACGTCAGAGTGTGCGGGAACGGAGCATCAAGTGCACTCCACCCTGCACCCTGGCTGGGGGAAGGTGACCAGGGGGCACCCTAGACCTACTTTGTCCATTTTTCAGTTTCAGTGAACAATATTTCCTGCATATTTGTGCTTATTCTTCAGGGTAGTTATTCTTTAAATAAATAAGTAAATAGGATGCAGTAGCACAAATAAATACCTATAATAGTTTTTCCTGACTCTGAATCCATTGTGTCACTGTGAATGTTCTGGCTCATAGTGCAGTTGAAGCCAACGCTAAGACACACACACTTACAGTAGTATTGTACAAAAAAGTGCTTGGTATAATGAGAAACATTTGGACTTCCATGACTAAATGAGTGCTGGCAGGCACCCAGAGTTTAATCCTCTGATCCATGGTGTCTCTTGATAAAGATGGGAGATTGTAATTGAATGTAGGGCAGGAAAATGTCAATTTATGGAGCCGTCCTTATTTGGGACACTTAATTTGGCTCTGCCTCTGAGGAATTTGTAGCACAACTCAAGTCAGTGAAAGAAGGACCACATGCTCGCTTCATTTAGAAGTTCTCATGGAATTGAATAGGAACCCTGTGTACAGAGAGCTCTCATGATTGTGAGACACTTCCCCTCCTCCTGAGGCGTCACACATTGCTTTATTTGCAGTTTCAACTGGGGCTTAACTATTAAATCAGTAGAAGAGATTGTTTCCAACTCTGGGTTTCAGTAACGATGCTTTACTGAAACCCTTGGTGCAGTAGAGCTGGAAATGCAGCCTTGTTACTCCTACTAAGCAGGAGCCCTTTCAGAAAAAGCATGGGTCACTCAGTGCATTATTTCCAAAAGCAATAGCACAGGCTTTAGAGACAGAGCATGTCTGAGAAGTCTTGCAAATGTTTATAAACAGCATTTAAACATAACACTCCCACTGCAGTATGCTATGCCAACCATAAACAGCGTTTAACCATCAGACTCACACAACAACATTTTATGCTAGCCATGATCCACAGGCGGGGGCAGCTCAGAGGTGGCCACTCGGAACCATCTGGCAGCTACAGGTTGCTGCAGCCGAGCTAACTGGCTGCAGAGGTGTTGAGGTGCGATGCTCTGCCCTCACAGATGCTCAGGAGGGCACCGAAGGTGCTCATCCTCAGTGTCCTCTGTGTGTATAGCTGGCCACCGGAGACGGAGGCTTTCTAAATCAGAAGCTTAAAATTTGGCTTCTCCAACTTGCTCAGTAAATCGGAAGCAGAACTAGGAAAAGAAGGCAGGAGACCTGACTCCAGAGGTAATTTCCTGTTGTAATTGCTAGACTAAACTTCGGATTTATTTTAACTTTTCAGCTGTTGCAGCTCCCTCCTCGTTCAGTGACTTGAGTTTGCTGGCAAAGCTACAACTTTCTCTGTAGGTGTTTTGCTATTCTGTTTTATAGATGTTTACACTTTGCCCTAACAAATTATTTTCTTTTCCATATTTTCAGTTTCTCAAACTGTGCCCGACAGAGAATTTGGATTCTCAAACAAGCTCATTTTCTCTAGCAAAAAACATCATTAGGAAGCAGTGACAGCAGTGAAGGCAACTCTCCAACTCCCTCCACCCTTCAGGTCCAAACAAAACAGAAACTTGACAGTATTTGGTGGAAGGCACGACCTGAGTGATGCACTAATGGCCTGAGAGGTCCAGAGCAGGGTGTTTTTTTGTTTTTTTTTTTTTTTTTTTTTTAGTTTTCACCAGCAGCATGGCTGAATTGCATAGGCACTTCCAAGAAACAGCCTGCTCCTTCCTGCACGGAGCTGGGGCTGCCCACAGGGTGCATGAGCACAGGGGCGGTCTGTGACAGGGCAGTGCCCTGTACTCGCCCAGCTGGAGGGCAGAAGCTGTTCTCATCAGTGGTTTTTCTTAACTAAGAGCCAAAGAAGAGCGTGGTGCATTCTTTGTCTTTTGGCATTAGCCTCCAGCCTCTGATTTTGGCAAAAGGTGGGACTTAGCCTGTGACTCTTTAATGGTGTTTAACAGTAAGCCTTTGATGTTTACGTCCTACAACTCCTTCACCGAGCGGTATCTTCTCTCACTTCTGTAGGTATGAATTTGTTTTGAACTAATCTGGCAAAGTTATGCCTGTGTTCACAATGGCAAAATATTTGATTGTTACCATGTTAATGTCTGTTGTCCCGTTACCTCTAGTCCTAGGTAGTCTTTGGCCTGGTTACCGCCCCTGGCTGTGAAAGCTTGGTGGATCCTCCACCAGGCTCTTACTGTGCTGGAAACAATATTCGAACTAGGTTACTAACCATAATGTGGGCAAGATTTTGACCTTGTCAACTCTTTAACTTGGGTATTTGAATTTTATTCTGCTCTTTAAATACATTTCTACTGCGATGTGACTGTTACTCTCATTTGCCTGTGCATGTGTGCATCAGACAATTCAAAGATCATTTAATGCAACCAGCACAGGTAGGCATCTGGAGACAATGAAATCCACAGAGCTATAAATCCACGCATATATTTTTCTGGAAGGACTGAAAACGAGGCACTCCTTAAAGCATGGCTGAATGCCCACATGGGGAGACTGCAGGGGCTTTGCAGAAGGGAGAGCCTGCCTTCCCTGAGGTGCCTGGGCTGGGAGTGGTGGCCCTGGGCCCCTTCCCTCTCCGTGGAGTCTGGCTGGGGAGTGACCCCAGGAGCTCTGCCAAGGAGCCCTTAGTTTAAGAAAACAAACAAAACAACACACAACACCAGGAACGCCAGGAACAAGGCACATAATGAAGTCAGTCTTGGGCTGGTCTCCTTAGTGCTGAAGCTGAAGGGAACTCTGTCTGGCTTTGAATTCAGGAAGCATCACAGATGCTGCACAAGTCCTTGCCAGGCTCTCTATCCACGAGCAGCCAGACAAACGAAAGGACCTTGCCTTCAGATTTGTCAAATAGGTATGTTATTTCAATCTTCAAGGCAAAGGCTAGGACAAATGACACCATCTTCACAGTTTTACCTAGGGTGTACCTAAAAGTGCTGCCTGAGTTTTGCCTTAATGAGATCCAACCTGTAGATACAGCCAGTATTTTTTTGCATGGCACAGCAATGAAAATGACATCAATATTCCGTCCTTCACTGACACCCAGCTGCCTCTATTTTTCATCGTCCTCCTTTCTTCAGCCAAAACCACAAATTGGCAATAATAAGATTTTAAAACTGTTTAAGTTGAGCTTTTCTGCTGGTAACTGGCCAGCCAAGCTCTCACACAACCTATCGGATTGTGCATCTCACGGAGGAATCTGCCAAAGCGCTTGGCAGCGATGGACATAATAAAGGACTCTTTACTTTCCCCAGACAGTTCTCTCAAAGTATCAGTTTGCACAGTCAGCAAAATCAAAACAAAACAACCCCCACACGTCCTGCTTAAAACTAGAATCGTTACAAACAACTTGCAGAGTTCCCTCAAAGTGAAATGCAGAGCAACAGTTTATTTAATACTATTCTTTCCTTCATCTTCCCCTGGGTTTGTGTTTTGCAGCTGAAAGATGTACGGCAGAGGAGGAGGATGAAGTCAGCATGACACTGGTGGGTGGGTCCCCTTCCTAGAAGAACTCTGTAAGGGTCTGCTTAGAAGGACGCTCCGTCAGAGCAGAAAAGCAAGAACAGGAAACGATAGCCTGATGCACTGACTGGATCCCAAGGGATCTGTAGGAAGGTCAGAGCTGTTTTTGAAATGTCAGCCCTCTGACACTCAATTGCA